AACCTGGACTGGCACTAGCACCAGCATTACCAGCACCAAGTCCAGCACCAAGACTGGAACCACAAGCAGCAGCACCAAAAATTTTCCCCCAAGCTGTCTTTTTCTTACCAGAAGAAGAGCTTGGGGTTGCCCTTTGTAATCTCACAGCACCAAATTTACTTTCATACTTAGCATACATGTCAGACAATGCAGCCCTAACCTCATTTAAATATGCAGAGTAATCACCACTAATAAGTTGTCCCATAATTTGGAGAACATTGCTAAAACCCCTGATCTTGGCCCTAGGATCCAAGATAAAAGCAAATGAATACAGAAATGGAATCTCAGACCAGTATGACAAGAACTTATTTTTCATGGGAACAACAACATTTCTAAGGTTCCAATCATTCTCATAAGTATTTAGATGTCCAGCAATCTCAAGAATGTGATGCATAATTAATGGAGATGTTGGATAATAAACACCAGACAAAATAACAGTTGAATCATAAAATTGTTCAAGGAATAAAAGAACAGTTTCAGCAATTGTCCAGTGTAAATCAGTCAGTAATGGCTGACCATCAGCCATTGGATGGTGAGATGCAATAAACACTGAAAAAATGACCCTATGTGGCAAGAGATGCTTAAGCATTAGATAAGTTGCATTCCATCTAACATCCATGTCCAAACCAAATTTACGAGGACGAATACCTTTAGCAATGCAGAAGTTTTTGTATAAAGCAATGCGCTGATTAGATGCATTTATAAATGAAATAGCAGTTCTAAAATCTTGAAGCATGGGTTTGAAGATTTCTAGACCAGCCTTAACAATTAAATTGATGATATGACATGCACAACGCTGATGCAAATATAAATCACCAATATAACCAGACAGAGCAGGTTTAAGACTATCCATTGCTTTAGAATTAGCAGAGGCATTGTCCAGGGTAATAGAGAAGATCTTATTAGTCAAACCATATTCTTGAACAACAGAAAGCACACGTTCAGAAATATTTTCAGCATTGTGTGACACATCAATTAGCACCAGTCCCAAAATCCTCTTCTCTAATTGACAATTAGAATTAACAAAATGGGCAACAACACTCAAATAATCCTCCTTAGCATTACCAGACCATATATCAGATGTCAAAGCAACAGAGCTAACAGACTTCAAAGTATCAATAAGCATAGCACGTCTCTTGTCGAAGACCTTAAAAACGTCCCTACTGATAGTTTGCCTAGAGACAACACTAAATCTAGGGTTGTGAGCATTCTGAATATACTCCTCAAAAGCAGCAGATTGACCAAAAGTAAGTGGAAGATCCTCTCTAGCAATCAACCTAACCAACTCAGTTCTAGCCACATCCGGTTTATATTCCCATTGACTAACAGAACCATCAGCATTAAACCTAAGCATGGACTGAGACAAAGCACCAACATTTCTAGGTTTGCACGATTTAATATGCCTAAGCAAATGTCCAGTACCACCAGTTGAACGAGCAGACAATGTTTTATGACAGTAATTGCATTTAGCAGAAACGCGAACCTGAGCGCCATTGCGCTCTTCAAAGAGTTCTTCAAAGTCGTCCCATACCTCAGACCTGGACCTCTTGTTGCTAGCACTTGAGCCAGACGGAGCACCGTTGCCATCGGCACCGGTACCATCATCGTGTGGCTCCGGCTGCGACAGATCTCTCAGAGGTGAAGCAGTGTTGCCAAACACCTCGATGCGTTCCTCCTCCAAGTCATCTTCGTCATCACCCTGCGTCCCCATCACCCTCGCCTCGTAGTTGCATGAGGTTGGATCACCATCCATCGCAGGCACTCCGGTTCCTCAACGGTGGCTGCCGCCTGCCGCTCAGCGACCTGCAAGAACAAATGAAACAACGACGAGAGCAGAGAGTAGTTACGGATCTGATCGAATAGAGAAAATAAACTAAAAAAAAAGCTTGTACCTGCGCATCCGGAGCACCGGAGTTGCCGTTGATGATAGAGATCCACAGATCTACGAGAAGACAAGAGGAGAGACTAGATTTGGGGGGTGGATGAGTGGATCTGAGTATCTGACGAAGAGAAACGATGAGGGTTGCAAAAAAAAGTACAGAATGGAGAGGAAATCGACAATGCGACCGTCGATCCGGTGACCGGAGAGGCGGAGACGAAGAGCTCACGGTCACAGATCAGCCAAAGAGATGAAAGAAAAGGATAGAGAAGAGACGACCCTCAAGCCTCCAGCGGGAGCCCGCTGACCCTCGGTGCTAGATCCGGCGAGGCATCCATCGGAGACGCCGACGAAGAGGGATGGAGGCGTGGAGGGCTGAGGGGTCGGAGCCTGGAGGTGGAGGCGGAGCGGGCGAGCGGCGGATCGGTCGAGACTCCAGACTGATGTGGCTAGGGTTAGGGTTTGTCGGTTTGATGCGGTTTGGGGTATTTATACCCACCCGGCATAACAGGCCTCGGTCGGGCCGTGCCTGCCGTTGGACCGTGCCGGGCCGTGCCGGCCCACCGTGCCGACCTCTTTCGTGCCGGGCCGTGCCGGCCCACCGTGCCGAGGGAGCGGCCCAAGCACGGCCCGGCTGTTGGGCCGGGCCGGCACGGGCACGACCCCAGTCGGGCCGTGCCGTGCCTGGGCCGGGCCAATTTGTCGTGCCTTGGGCCGGGCCGTCGGGCCCCGGGCCTTATGGCCATCTATACACTTACGTTTTAATCGTGTGAGTGTAATGTAACTGCAGTGAAAGTTTTAAAAAAGTTAAGTATAGAATGAAAGCTGTCGTCTGCTGCTTGCTCAGTTGGTACGGCGCATGTTGTGGCATCCCTGATGGGTTCGATTCCTTGTTCTAGCGAATATTTTTTCACTCAACGGCAGATGCACGTATCTCAAAGTAAATCATGCGGTCAACAAATCGACTGATTTTTAATTTTTCGTGTGTACTTTTCAAACTGATTTTTAATTTTCCGTGTGTACGCTTTTCAAACCGCTAAAACGGTACATATCTTGTAAAAAGTTTATATAGGAAAGTTGCTTTAAAAATCATATTGATCTATTTTACATTTTTTTTATAGTTAACACTTAATTAATCGTGTATTAATCTATCGCTCCGTTTTTCATGCGAAGAGGAGGGTTACAACCCTCCAAAAGAACACCGTCTAAATATTACAATGGAGAGGAGAGTTCCAACCCTCTAAAAGAACACCGTCTAAATATTGACGGTTGAGTAACAAGCGAAACATTAAATTATATACTGTAATTAAAAAAAAACATGTACCCCGGCATTTGCAGAGCAATTAGGCACTGATGGGGTCAGTATTGGCGCTCGTCTAGGTGTCGGTGTGCTCTCGTTCTTCGTCGTCGTCGTCCTTCTCCTCCCTTCAGTCTTTCACCCTTCTCATGCATCTCGCGCTGCCCTTCGCCAAGGTGGCGCTCACCTTCCACCACGCCGTCCGCAACTAAGACTCCGGCATGCAGCGCGGGAGGAGAAGGCGACGAGATCGACGTCGACTCCGTCGAGCCGCTCCTGGCCGCCGCCGCGGCGTACAGGGGCGAGGCCTGGTTCCATGTCAACTTCCTGGGCCGCCGCGCCGGTTCTTCGATCGCCGAGCTGCGCTACCACTACCTCGGCGACCACGCCCTTCGTCGAGAGCTGCACCGCGCTCGCGGACGGCGACGGCGGCGGCGGCGGCGGGTACTGCGCGTTGTGCAGCGAGAGGTGCGGTGGTGAGATGCTGCACCCGGGTGATGGTTCGTTGATTCGTTCGCGTGGGCGGGAAAACGGGGAGGAGGAGCTGTCCAAATATAGCAAGTGATTAAAAAAATTCAGTTATCTTCTGTGATTGTGATCTGATCACCAATTGTAAATCCTCCCGTTATAAACATTTGACGACCCAGTTGAATTTCAATTGTGATCACCAATCTTACTCAAAGCAACAAAAAAAAATTAATGTAAATATGCAAGTAACAATCAAGAGTACCAGAGCCAGTAACGCATAGCGTCAAATATACAGCCGCCACATCTTCCAAGCCTGTACCTTCTCGCAGCAAGTTTGGGTGCAGGTTCAGGCTCGTTTGAGCCTCTCCTGCTCGCCGCCGTCCTCGGACTTTGCCAGTTGGTGGCTCGCTACCCGGCAAACTGTTGCGAAGATCGATCGCAAGACGTTCGACGCCGGGGTCATCCTCATTATATGGTTGATTTGGAAAGAGCGCAACGCACGGGTTTTCGAGGGAACGGCCTCATCGGTCATGCAGCTGTGTGCGACCATGTGTGATGAATGGGTTACTTGGAAATCAGCAGGGCTAGTTACCTCGTTGAATGTTGCTGCAGTGCCAGCTTTAGAGAGATTACAGACTTTGTAATTTGCTTTTTGTTGTAAAGGCGGTGCTCTAACGCACTGCATTTGTACAATTTTCCCCTTTTCCTTAATATACATCGGTCAGCATTCTTCGCCATCCCGGCGAAAGAAAAAAAATATACAACCGCCACTTCAAGAGGATATTCAGTGTCAAACATACAGGACAATTCTACTCAACAAGATGTACTCCCACCCTCCCTATATATTTGTCGTTGACTTTTTTAAACATGTTTAATCGTTTGTCTTATTTAAAAAACTTTTATGAAATATGTAAAACTATATGTATACGTAAAAGTATATTTAACAATGAATCAAATGATAGGAAAATAATTAATAATTACTTAATTTTTTTAAATAAGACGAACGGTTAAACATGTTTAAAAAAATCAACGGCGCTAAATATTTAGGGACGGAGGGAATACGAAATTAAGCAAATTTCTTAAAAACAAAGTTGCAGAATAATTTTAAGTTTCTAACTGTTTCCTCTGCACGAAAGAGAACCAGCTAACCACCGACAACCACAAGCTGCAACAAAATTTCTGTAGTATCCACTGTGCTGATCTGGTCCGGCCCACTGACCCGGCCCATACCAGCCCAGCCCACGTTTTGCTCACGCAAGGTAGTACGGCCCAATAAGGCCCATTTAAAGAGGGAGGAAAGCCAAATCAGATAGCTCGCCTCGTCTCGGTCGTCTCTCTCTCTCTTTCCTCTCGTCTTTCTCGGCGGCGGCGGAGGCGGAGGCGGCGGCGGCGGAGATGGCTCACCGGCTGCTGCGAGACGCGCAGGCGGACGGGTGGGAGCGGTCCGACTTCCCCATCATCTGCGAGTCCTGCCTCGGCGACAACCCCTACGTCCGCATGGTACCGTGTCTCTTGCCCCCCCACAAACCCTAACCGCATCTGATTGATTCGCGCTCTTGGTGGTTCATGTGGTGGCTGCGGGCGCGGTGATTTCAGCCTGCCTGGTTTGCGATTGCTGTTGTTATTGGGGTAGATCGGGGGTCAAAAGTTAGGCGTCGGTTTCTGTGGGATGTATTGCGGTACGTGTGTTGTTGTAGTTGTTCTGATTTAGCGACGAGTTAGGCCGAAAAGATTGCTGCTCTAGGGTGGATTTTGTTGGTTTCATGTACCGAAATGGTGTTTGTTTCGCAAATTGCAGTAGTATGATTATAGAATTTTATTTGTGGAGGATAACCTAGCCAAGAAAACGAGAACAAATTGTCAAGCAGAAGACCAGGCATTGTGTAGGGGTCCAATACTAAGCAATTAGATGTGGATGAGATTGTCTCCACATCCAAACATTTATTACTAATCAAATTTATCATTGTCGGCACATTTAGTTTGCTTATGATCTTGATATGGACACAAGATTTACTGTCTTTCTTGTTTGTCTTGGCAGTTGAGAGCAGAATATGATAAAGAGTGCAAAATATGTGCACGTCCGTTTACTGTCTTCCGTTGGCGACCTGGCCGGGATGCAAGATACAAGAAGACAGAGATCTGCCAGACATGTTGCAAACTGAAAAATGTCTGCCAGGTCTGCCTGCTAGATCTTGAATATGGTCTACCGGTCCAGGTTAGGGATACAGCACTCGCTATTAATTCAAATGATGCAATCCCAAGGAGTGATGTGAACCGTGAGTACTTTGCAGAAGAGCATGATCGCAAGGTATGTCTCCTTTTTCACAACTTATTATTTGTATCAACTTTCACAATACTCATCTAAAATGGTTTATGTCCATATCACTGCTATTTTCATTTTTCTTCCCTGCAACTAGTATGTCCACAGTGTTCCTTCCATTTTTATTGTCTAGTCTATTCTAGTAGCATAACACATTAAGGAAATTAATGGGTTTTCTTAGACCAGAAACCTAATGTTGTAAGGAATATAAAATGAATGCACTTTAAGTGTGTTGATCTCAAATAACAAACGATGTACCCTTTTTTAAGTAGTTTGGTCCGGCAGAGTGCCTGCACATGCTTTCTGCCTATGTTAATCATGATCTAATTATTCTTCCTGCCTCTAAATGTATGGATTATTTGTTCTTATGGTAGGCTTTCTTTATCAAAATGTAGGCCAGGGCTGGAATAGATTATGATTCTTCCCATGGGAAGGCACGTCCCAATGACACCATTCTGAAGCTTCAGAGGACGGCACCATATTACAAGAGGAATCGAGCTCATGTCTGCAGTTTCTATGTGCGTGGTGAATGTACAAGAGGTGCTGAATGCCCTTATCGACATGAGATGCCTGAAACTGGAGAGTTATCTCAGCAGAACATTAAAGATCGTTACTATGGGTATGTTTGTGCTGATTGTGCATACAATTTTTTGAACTGTGTGCTTGTTTTGGTTCTCTATGGATATTAGCATATTTTTATTTCTCATTAAGAGGCAACAATTAATGATCATTATACTCCAAAGATGCCTATTGATCCTTTTTTATATCTGTTAGACCTGCTATTTCTAACTAATTTTAATATTAAGACTATCATCAAAACTAAATCCATGTGTAGTGTCTCAGGATGCAAACCAGCATCTGCATGCATAGTACTTGTAACTCTGGATATGAATTCCATCATCAGTGTCTATGGATGGATGAATGATGAAGTAAAAGAAATCTTGGTATATTTCAATCAAATTGGACTTTACATTGTTTAGTACAATATGGTGTGGTAGCACACCTGAGATCTTGTTGATGCACACCTACTGATGGTTTAATCATGTCCGTGAGATGAACCGACTTGTTTTTTTTCTTCACTGTACTCTTTTGGTTCATATTGCACTTAGTTCTATTTATATATTACTTCACATTCTCTGACGCATTCTCTTCTTGCTCATTACAGAGTTAATGATCCAGTTGCTTTGAAACTTTTGGGTAAGGCCGGTGAGATGCCATCCCTGACACCTCCAGACGATGAGAGTATAAGGACACTTTACATTGGTGGCCTTAATAATCGAATCACCGAGCAGGATTTGAGGGATCAATTTTACGCACATGGTGAAATTGAGTCCATAAGGATGGTTCTGCAACGTGCCTGTGCATTTGTGACGTACACTACAAGAGAAGGTGCTGAGAAAGCTGCAGAGGAGCTTGCCAACAAGTTAGTCATCAAGGGTATACGCCTGAAGCTCATGTGGGGTAAGCCTCAAGCACCAAAGCCAGAAGACGATGAAGCTGGAAGGCAAGGGCATGTTGCACATGGAGGAATGCTCCCCAGGGCTGTTATATCTCAGCAGCAGAGTGGTGACCAGCCTCAACCACCTGGAATGGAGGGACAACAGCAAGCACCATCGGGATCATACTACTTCAACATTCCAGCACCGCCAGGAGCAGAGCGGACACTGTACCCTTCAATGGATCCCCAGAGGATGGGTGCCTTGGTCAAGTCACAGGAGGGTGATGGCAAACCCGGTCCACAGCAGGCAGCCCAAGCTCAGGCATCAAGCAGCTCAGGACAGAGTTACCCTATGCCACCACAATATTACCATGGTCAGTACCCACCCTACTACCCACCGTATGGCGGTTACATGCCCCCACCTCGCATGCCATACCCACCGCCACCGCAGTATCCGCCTTATCAGCCGATGTTGGCAACACCAGCACAGTCGCAAGCTAGCTCATCACAACAACCTGCACCAGCAACGCTGCACCAGGCTCAAGTCCCTCCTCCGCAGCAGACGACCCAGAACTGAAGGCCTTAATCTTACTAGACGAGTGATAAACAGTTAGCTGGAAACAAATGATGGTTTTAAACTTTTAATGGACGCTGCGAACAAAACGTGAAGATGAATGAAGTTGCTTTCAGCTTCAGGCTTTCAGCAACTTGGGCTGGTATGGATGTTCTCCCTGTATCTGATGTGCCATTGAGGCAGCAGCAGGCTTTTGATGCGGCGATATGTGCGGCCGCAAAGCAAGCTGCAGAGCCGAACGCTTGGAGCCTGTGGTCATTGTTGCTTGATAAGGTGTATCAACACTGTTGTTATTATACAATTTCAAATCTGTGCATTTTCTATATTGCTATAGATATTGCTACTGTTGTATTCCTAGAATCTGTTCTTTGGAGGACTGTAACCCTCGTTTATTACCAGCTTTCTTTTGTATGTTGTAATGTGTGACTCGCAGTACTTAGTACTCCTAAATGTTTATCTGATTCATCTTAGCTGAGAAAAATACTGGAATTTGTCCAGCTATACTAAAATGGAAGCGGAATTCAGTTTCTTGTGGACACGTTCAGTTTTGACCTACGTTCAATTGATGTAGCAGGCTAGATACCCCCATTGACCGGTGGTTTGAAATTCGGCCGCATATAAAGCCCATGATTTACTCGGAGACGAAAATTGTCTGCCTATGAGCCATTGGTCTTTTGTGGCCCACTTATGGCGGTGGAAGAAGGAATGGAATAAGTCCATTTTACCTCCCTCATCTCTTACCCTTTGTCGAATAACATCCCTCAACCACAACCAGGTATAACGACTCCCTCATCTCCAAAAACCGGTGCAAATCGACTTCCAAGGCAGTATTGAGTCCAGTTTTAGCTTATGTGGCATCCACGTGGCATCTAGGTGGCATTCACTGTAAAAAATTAGGTGGGACCCACCTATCACCCCTCCCCTCTCTCTTTCATCTTCTCATCTCTCACAGCCGCCTTCCATTGGCTCGAGCGGCACGGCGGGGGAGGAGCTCGCCGGGAGGCCCCGGCTTGCCGGGCGTGGGGGAGGACCTCGCTGGGAGGCCGCGACCGGCTGGGCGTAGGGGAGAAGCTCGCCGGGATGTTGCGGCCGGCTGGACGCGGGGGAAGAGCTTGCTGGGTAGTCGCGGCCAGCCGAGCGCAGGGGAGGAGCTCGCCGGGAGGTCGTGGCCGCTCGGACGCGTGGATAGAGCTCGCCGGGAGGCCACGGCCGCCTGGACGCGCGGATGGAGCTCGCTGGGATGCCTCAGCCGGCTGGGCACCGGGGAGGAGCTCGCCGGGTGGCCACGGTTGGCCGGGCGGTGGGAGGAGCGCACAGGGTGGTCGCGGTCGGCTGGACCTGGGAGATCTTGTACTCTCCGAACGCCGCCGCTGTCTTGTTCGCCGCGAGGTGGTGGCGGTGCCGCCTTCTCCCGCCGGCAGCCGATGCCGTCCCGCTCGTCGCGAGGTGGTGGTGGTGTCGCCGCCGGTGCCGCCTTCTCCCGCCGACAGCCGATGCCGTCCCGCTCGCCGCGAGGTGGTGGTGGTGTCGCCATCGGTGCCGCCTTCTCCCGCCGGCAGCCGATGCTCACTGCCTGCCGCCCGCATCCTAGGAGAGAGAGGGGAGAAGGGAAAGGATCCTCCTGGATGTTGCGCTCTTCGACTTCCCCACGCCGTGGACCGTCGACGTCGCCAGGCCGCTCAGCGTCAAGGTGGCACAGTTCTCCATCTCCGGCACGTACATCATCGCCTCCGCACACTGCCTCCACGACGATCGCTAGACCATCGAGGACCTCGTGTTGACACCCATGGGGTTCCTGCCGTCATCGTTGCTCGCCACCGTGCGGACCAGGTGGCGTTGATTGGGGAGGCGGGAAAGGACAGCGACGAAGAGGACTAGATGCAGAACGCCGCCGCTAGCCCCCTCCCAGCCTGTTGCGTGCACTCTAGCTGCGGCGGGATGCGGAACGTGGCCGCCAGCCCGCCGCCGCCAGCTCGAGTTCGTCGTCGGGCGAGAACGACGATGACGAGGAGGAAAAGGCCACCCTGTCGGCACGCAGTACCAGCAGCCGGCTGGCTGACATGTGGGTCCCACCTGATGACTCAGCCATTCAACGGGGTCAAAGATGCCACGTGGGACAAAACCGCCTTCGAAACCGTCCGGGGAGTCAATTTACAACGGTTTTGGGAGTTGGGGGATATGTTATACCCGGTTTTGCGGTTGAGGGATGCGATTCAACCAAGCGCAAGAGATGAGGGAGGCAAAATGGACTTATTCCAGAAGGAATTAACTGACTCTCTCTGAGTTGATCGATCACGCATGAATCATCAGCAGCCAGCGACCGCATTATGGTTGTCGCTGCCGTGGGCGGCGAGACGCAGACGCAGCGGAGCGCCGTCGCTTGGACGCGGACACGATAACACCTCGGCGGCTCGACGCTGCCGCCGTAACAGAATCTGGCCCCATTTGGCAAAATTGGTTATATAGCATTGAGAGTTCACGTTTTTAGTTTTATAGCATCCAAAGATACAGGTTCACTTTAGTAACACCCAAAGTTCACCCCACTCCTATTTTTAACACTTCCGTCAATTCTCGATCGTTTTCCGTCCGCGTTGATCGCTATTTACCCAGCCACACACACGATATGACGTTTCTATCCCCTCATTGCCATGCATTCTACTTTTACATGAACTTTGAATGCTATTAAAGTGAACCGGTATCTTTCGGTGCTATAAAACCAAAAATGTGAACTTTTGATGCTATATAACCAATTTTGCCATAGGGGCAGAATGTGGCGGGTTTATTATTAACTATTTTCACTAGATTTGGTAGAAATATGTTTACAGATCATTTAAGAAGAGAATTCACCCGCCATGAGACAAAATGAACCTCCGGCCAATCAAGTGCGAGTACAAGGATTGGAAGGCCCACATGACAGTCAAAAGCGATCTAAAGTGGGGCCAAAGCATCCTCAACCACCATAGGACCCACTTGTCAGAGACTAAAGAAAGTCGGTGGCCAGAGGTGGTTCGGCCAAACCAACCTCGGCACCTCTAACCGCTAGCTTCCACATGGCGCTTCCTTATTGGTCCCCAATAACTATTACATGGATTTACCAACTTAACCACTGACCTACAACCGTCATAGACCTATTATAAAAGGATGACTTCATCACACTTCATATAAAGGATGACCTGTTATAAGAGAGTGATAAGAAAAGAAAGAGATAGAGGAAGCTGGACACTGATACATGGGTCCCACATGATGTCTCGGTAGGGTGGACTATGTCAACGTGCCACGTCAGTGAAAACCACAAAATATCTAATGGTTGAGGCATACGAATCAGATGGTACGAGGGTGTCAAAGTGGACTTATTTATTTGTAGCTATCCAATCTCCGTTGGTCTTTGTGGGCCACTTGCAGTGGTGGCCTTCCAGGTAGTTAGGCCGAATTTTCCGTGTGGGACCATCAACCATGACCAACCTCCCCACGTGGCCACGCCACCGTCAACTTCTCCATTGGGCGTTAGACTTGCACGAGTCCGCCCCGTGCCGGTAAGACGGAGTCCAGCTACGAGTCGCGGATCCCGTCAGGTCGCCGGCGTCCGTGCCCGGGCAGTCCAGCCAATGCCAATGCAGATGTCATACTCGTCGACACCCACGACCCCGAGATGTGCTTATGCCTCGTCAACGGCGACGCCTGGAGGAGTTCCGCATTACTTCCACACCCCTCACCAAGAACACGATCCCGGCCATCGCCGCCGTGGGAGGGACGCTGCGATTCATCTTATGCGAATGGAACGCGGATGAGATGTGCACCGTCCACTTTGACTTGACCTCTCCTCCCGACCGTCCTCTCCGATCCGGTCGCCAAGTTCGACGCCAGTACACCGGCAAGGCGTGGACAGTGGACACCGGCAACGTCTGGCTGCTGCAGTCTGACGGTGAGCTGTTCCAGGTCCTTCTCGGTTTCCTGGACTTCGCTGACAGGAAGATCAGCGCAGTCTCCGTGTACAGGATGACCTCTCCGACGAGCTGCCGGGCTTGGCGCGCGTGCCCGACATCGGAGTAAGTTTTCCTCTTGTCCGATGGGATCGCCGCGACCTCGTGCTACGCCTGCGCGTGCAACCTGAAACGGAACCGCGTCTAGTTCATGAAGAATTTCAGGGAAAACGACGGGGATCTCTGCATCTACGACATCGATGAACAGTCGCCGCCTCGCCGGCGTCATACGCTAAGGTCGGAACTGTGAGCAACGTGGGCTTCAGCGGCGTGTGAGAGGTTAGTCCAGATCTAAAGTCTAAACCTAACCCAGCAATCCGTTAACTGCTCCCAGGTGCAAAAACCCTCTTCTCTATTCTCAGGTTATGCCCAGTCAGCGCAAGGTGCCAGTGAGTGTGCAATAATCCAAATTACAAATGTAGTACTCCGTAGTTTGTAGCGAACGCTGACACAGATTGTTTATTTCTACTACGCGTCAGTTCATTAATCATTAGCCGTTCTGCATGCCGGGACCAGGGTTTGCGAAATCACGTGGTTACGGGGCTCTTATTACCGTGGGATACGAGCTGAGATCGGTTATCGGCGGTTAGGGTTTGAGGAATTTTAACCAAATTTAAAATTTCTAAAAAAAATCATAGATGTAGTTCTTAAATTGTAGTGGCAGATGGTGAAGAATTTTTTTTTTAAAAAAGAGTACGATAAATTCATATTTAAGGTCTAAACCAAAAGTCCATAATAAACCTTGTCCAGGACCAGCTGATTTTCTATACTTCTATACCCAACATCCCTATCCCACCACCAAAACGGCGAATTGAACTATTATGCGTCTTCCATTCTAGTGTTTGAATCTCCTGAAGATGAAGATAAAGATTAAGTGTTTCACATAAAACGAGGTGGTAAAAATATGTGATTAATTAAAGTTTTAATTATTACAAACTTCAAAAATTGATTAATCTGATATTTTAGAATAACTTTCATATAGAAAGTTTTCGCATGGAACACATCGTTTAGTAGTTTGAAAAGCGTGCCACGATAATCTAAAATTTCATCCTCTCATAGTAGGGGAAACAAACAGGGTATGCGTTGAATATTGTGGTATGAACTCTAGAATTTTCAATTTATCTTTACTATATTATAAAAATTAAAGGTATTTTTGTCGGAATTTCAGTACATCGTTTGTATCCGGGACTGATTCCTGTCTGTACACGTCATCGTGGTGTCCTGTGTGATCTGTTTTCCCTCCGCTTCGGTATGCTACATCGTCGCTCGTGATCGTTACAGAAAACGTGTGCATCCACAGCCGTTGTTTCCAAAGCACGTGCATCCGCGAGAGTTGATTTTGTACTCAATCCGTTTCGTCCGACATGCCTGACAAATTAAAACATGCTTCGTTCAAAGCTTCGATGCTAACCAGAAGTATGCGATAGTTGTGTTCATCATGAACTTGGATGGGCTGCTTATGTGCATAGATGAGATATTAGTGTTGTGCTAATCTATATAT